TAACATGACCACTAGAGTTTTAAACAGAACCAAACTGAGTGAGATAAAGAACTCATGCCATATAAAGGAAAAGATCAAAGAAAAACACCAGGGGTACTTCCTGAAATTTAGCCCTATGTACATTTTCCACTGCAAGCAAAACTATGAAGAAAAACAACACTGAATGAGTGGATGGAATGAGACAGAAACAGTTTCCACTGCAAGAAGCATTCGAGAACTCCCTTCGCTCTGCCTTCCTGCACATGTTTTGTTTCAAGCTGGGTTTGGTTTCTTTCTCGGCTATGACGTTTCTCACCTCACGCTGTCAGGAAACCAACAGCCCACCTGCCATATAAGGTCCACTTTGAAGGTCCTCTTTGATCAGATATCTGCCTCAGCTTCTGAGCCTAAGCCTCCTGCATCGTCCAGCCCTCTCTGTGCCTCCTCTTGGCAAAGCCCTGCCTCCCTAACTGGGAAGGGAATGGTGACCAGTTCGGGGAAACTGGACCATTGGGCTTCTTGACAGCACCATGAATTCAGGGTTCCTTTTCTGGACCCTTGCCCTCAGTTTGCAGTTGACCAATGGTAAGAATACAAAAGAGGATGCTGTGCTGAAGGATGTTTGGATGGGCTAATCATTGGAGGCTTTGCTTCAGGATTTGCAGCAAAGTCCCTGTGAGGTAACTTGAAGGCCTCCTCCATTTTGACTCCATACTTTTAAGCCACAGATACCATACCTTTCCAAACCCTCCCTTTCATCCTCAGAGCAAAGCCATGTAATACGTTAGGCTGAGAGATTTTAGTTATACTTGTAGACTTGTCCATTCTTTGTTTGGGTCCCTGTTCTTCCTGCAGCCAGAAACATCGCTGGTGTGCCCGGAGAAGAATATAAGGTGTGGGCTAAGGAGGGGAGCCAAGCTATACTCCCCTGCATCCTGAGTCCTCAAAAACTGAAGAGCACCTGGAGGCAGCTGTACAAGGGATTGGTGGTTCGCTGGGTGTGGCACGGAGACAGGTAAGCTGGGAAGGACCATTTCTGTGGAGCAGGAAGGGGGCATTTATTGTTTCCCTGCTTTGCCAATTCCTTCCATTTCCCATATATTTCCTGCATTCCACGTTCCACCTCCTGTCCCCCTGTCTTCTCTAGCCTCTTTCTCAGCTAGCAGGACACTCATCCAGCACATTTCCCCCTGTTGTTGTCTCCAGCTCCCACAAGAGACGTCGCCTGGTGTTAAAGATGGAGCCCAGTGGGCTCAAGAAAATGGGCCTTTTCACAAAGCACCGAACAACAGTCTGGGATCCTGGCTTTCTCCGGGGGAATTTCTCACTCCAGATTGACCCACTGTTGAAAGAAGATGCAGGAATCTATGAAGCGCTGGTGAAATATGGGAGAAATCTTTGGCACTGCAAAGTGAAGCTGGGGGTAGTGACAGGTACGTGGATTTCCTAGCTATCAGGGGTATACCGTAGAACGTGGTTCTACTGAGTAGGAAGAGATAGAAGACCCCCCCAAAGAATTAAGATTATTCTTCTTTTAAAGAGTTCAGCTGCACTGCTCAGCCATGGGCAATTCTAAAGTTGAATATATTTAAACAAAGTCATCCTTGGAAATAAAAACCAAATCCCTCCCCCTATTTATCAGAAGCAACAGCATCCAAGTGGGGTTAGGGACAGACATTATCTACAAAGGCAAGGGATGAAATCCATGGGGCTAATCTAGATAGCACAGGGGTACGTGTTGTTTTATTCATATGTGAGTCACATTCCCAAAGAAACTGGTGTGGAGTGAGCCGCAGATTCTGTCCTAAATCCACCTACAAAAATGCCGTTGATTCACTGGGGCTGCTCTAATTGGTAGTAGCATTTGCATTCTTCTAAAAATGAAATCCTGCCCCCTCCTATCTTGCCATCATCCACTGCTTCAAACGTGTCCGATATCAGAGTTAATTGAGGGGGGAGGAAGAAATAATTCAATAAATTTAATGGCGGGAGAGAAGTAGCATGAAACGAAGATTGCTTTGTTCCCCTCAACCACCATTGCAGTATAATGGAAAAACGAGGGGGCTCCTCCACCTCCTATTTGCCCCTTATGAACAAGGCAGCCACAGACATAAAGTCAAAGATTGTAACTTTGCCATTAAACCTAATCTGGCTGTTTGAGTGGATGAATCGTTGAGATATAGTGCATAATTCTTCATTTCAATATATTTTATTTTTTTGACAGTGGCAGCTAGCCCTCCTGGTCCCTTGGTTGAGTCTGAAGCCGTCAAGTTAAGCTGTAGCTCCACCCATCCAGAAAAGCCCACAAAGATATGCTGGTTTCATGCTGATGTCCTCGTGCACCCTGTGACGGGTCGGTTCATCCCTCTTGACCACTCTCTGTCTATCTCCCGGTTGGTGAGCAGTGACTCTGGCCCGTGGGTCTGTGAGCTCAGCTTTGCCAGTGGGGAGAGAATATATGCCACGCACAACTTGCAAGTCATAGGTGAGATCAGACTCCACTTTATCTTTCATGTGGCCTCCAAACACAGACTGCTCTTGGGAGGAAATGTCATGAATCAAAAACAGGCTTCCTTCTCTTGATGGGCCAAAAGATATATATCCTCTCCAAATGCTTGCTAACTGCTCTGTCCTTTGTAGGAGCCACACCGCCTAACGCTGTGCACCTTTTCTTTTCTTTTTTGGCCCCCTCCCTAGGATTTGCTGAGACAATGGTTTCTGTAGTCTATACAGCAGCAGGATCTGATGCTCACCTGCCCTGTGCCCTGAATTACAATCCTACGGACTACGGCATTTCAAAAGTGGCTTTCCATTGGAGCTACATGGCAAGAGAGGAAATCAGGGCAATGCCCATCCCCAGTCATGGACGCAATAGACATTTCAGCCTCCATCTCCCTGCGGTGGGCCTTGAGGACGCAGGCCAGTACCTTTGTGAGATAACCCTCCAAGACACCACCACCATCACTAAGAATGTCACACTGGCCGTAATGACAGGTGAGAAGGGCATCTCTGGCAACAGATGGGAACATATACTTCATATTGCAAAGAGATGTTATTAAGGATTCAGGAATTATAGCCCCTCATCCCCACCTCTCTAGTTAGAGAGTTTGGCTGTTCAGCATGTACTTCTAGCGAAGCAGCAGCATATCGCAAGCAGACTATTTAGTTCACTAAGAATTGGAATGGGTGAAGGAAAAAGAGTGGAAAAAAAACAGGTTACTAGAGCAGGGAGAATGCAGGTCATCTGGGGAGCCATACAAAAACATTTAACAAAAATTTGAAATGCTATTAAATTTACTGTTAATTTAAAAAAATCAACAACAGATTGATGTTCTATGGCCATCTATCTGGTATTAAGCCCCACAGAATGCAGTAGGGCCTTTTTGTTCTGAGAAAACATATAATCTGCTACCTGTGAGTAACACACCCAATGCCATGAGCTAATCACTGGCATCTTATATATTTTCCCTGTGGTTCTTCCATTTCTTCTCACTGCAGAGGTTGAACTTGCCAACTGTCTCTTCAAGCAGGCTTCCCCACAGTGACTGGCTGTTTCAATGCATTGTTGGGCCTTATTGTTTTGAATGTGTTTTGGTGCTGGTTTTGTTTTGTGTGTGGCATTTGTTTGATCATTGAAAAAATCTTTGTATACTTATTGTTTTTAGCTTTTAAATATTGTCTTTTAATGATGTAAGCCACCTTGGGTCCTTTTTAAGGAGAAAGGTGGAGTAAAATAGTTTAAACAAACAAAGAAACAACACATATGCAAAAAGACTGTAATCAGTTCAGGTACAGATGATTTTAGCTGTACCATTCCATTTTTGTGAAATGGCAGGGGTTTGATCTAGGCAACAATGTGTGGGAAATGTGAATCTAGCACAAGTCAACCACAGACATTTGTTATAACTTTTGCATTGGGTGCCATATTACAGCTCTGTTTTTGTGTTTTTTAAATCTATCATTTATCTTTTTTAAAAAATCTATTACAGTATTTATCTTTAGCAGCAAAATCAGGGAGCTGGACAGGGGACAGATTGTATTTGTCTTCAGTGTGGGAGGGATTGTCACTCTCGAATTGGCCTTCTCAGCCACACTAGATGCTGTTCCAAGTCCTCTATTCAGAGCATGTTGCTATAGTCTCTCGAAACTGAAGGATGCCTAACCTAATCTGTCTTTAGCAAAACACTCTTCTGGAGTACAAATAAGTACAAAGGTGCAATCATCATCATCATCTTACTACACAATGTCAGTTAAACACATACAAACACAAAATTAGCATCATCATATTACTGTGTGCTGCAGCACTGTGACCCTATAGCAGAAAAACTATTACTGCATTGTGATAAAATAGTGCTGATCTGCTAAGAAAGTGCTGGCATAGTACTTTAACACCGTAATACTATAATATTAATTTTTTCTTTATAGTATTACAAATGATGATGATGATGATGATAGTTGTTGTTGTTGTTGTTGTTGTTACTACTACTACTACTACTACTAGTACTACTACTACTACTACTACTACTACTACTACTACTACTACTACGTTATAGTGCTATTACACCGTGATGCAATAATGCCATTTTTTGAAGTTAACATTTTAGTAACTTCTAGATAGTTTTTTTAATTCAGAAATTAACATTATAGCATTATTAATGCTAGTACATTAACAATCTTTCCTTAAAAACAGGAACAGTCCGCCAGAAAAGTGTTTTACCAATATTTGAAATATGGATTTAAAATGATTTAAAGAGAGAGAGAGAGAGATTATAAAACAACATCCGCTGCAAAGGTTATAGTGCATGTGTGCTGTGCTTCGAATTGTGATGCTGCTGCTGCTGCAACTGTGTCACACCCACTTGTGTCATCAGAATGTGGTAGGATGATGTACACGTACCTAATCTGCAGTATTCCTAACTGTATGGAAAGTCATTTGCAATTCCACTTGAAGTTTACAGGGTAGCACTAAGAACCCCAGTGATTCACCACCCATCTGGAGGAAGCCTTGGTGTGAAAAGAAACAAAAAGAAAATGTTAAGTTTGTCGTTAACTAGCAATAGCTTTTCTTTTTTAATCAAGGTTGACTCATACTTCCTTTCATATGACGAAAATGCACATATCCCAAAGTATTAATACAGTGAAAATAATTGTCTAAATTATGTCACTGTCTACTCAAACGTTAGGTCCCAGTGGCTGGAATCCTGTTGCGTAGTTACACAAAAGGTGTAACTTTTATTGGGAAATTGTTACAAGTTTAAAAATCTCCATAGACATCTATTGAATACTGAGTTGCTAAACTCAGCATGCAGCAGATTATGTCAACAGAGATTGTTTATAGCAATTTCTCTGATGTTGTCTCCCTGTTAAAAGTCACCCATTTTGCATAACTGTGCAACAGGATTTCAGCCACTGAGTTCATGCTTCCGGATGAGGGTATACAACTGTAGTCTTGATAAACTTTAATGTTAATTACATTAAAGGCAGAGGACTCGTTAGCTTAAAACGAATTGACAATCCTCGTTGTGAAAAAGAAAAGATGTAAACGAGTGAGGCCAGAAATAGCCTTATCTTTGGTAAGAAACTTGGGGGAGACAAGTGAGAGATGATGAATCTTTGTAGGAACGTTTTTCATTTCTGTTTCATTCAGTCACTACAAACGCTGAAGCGGCAGTAGTCACGGAGGGATCGCACTTGCTGCTCACCTGCAACCTCAGCTACCACACAGGGAATGAGCATTTCCAATGGAGGCAACTGGGTTTCGGCTCGTGGCCTGCAGCTGCTTCCAGCCCTGCTGAAGTCTCCAGCTGGGAATCAACTCTGGAATTCCCTGCAGTGTCACTCAACGATGGAGGCACCTGGGAATGCAGTGTCTATGGCCCAGATGGACAGCTGGCATCTATACAGTATCATCTGGAAATCGCAGGTATTACCGGTATTTATTTCTTTATTCTCCTCTGCTTTTCTGTCGTGGCAGCTTACAGTAAAGTATTTAAAATACCATAAAATAACTCATATGCAGAATAAGCCAAAACTAGGAAATCCATTTAAAAAATCTTGCAGAAAAAATAATAGCAACAAAGAGAAAAACAGACCAGCAGGAACTTGGACAAATAGAAGGCTGGCATCAGAAAGCTATCAGGGTGGACACCAGGCATGTTTTTCTGTGCAAAATATCCCTACGCCACAGCATTGCCAGTCCTTTTCTTTATGGCCAGATAGAGTACTTAAGAGGATGAAGAAACTCTGAGACAACCCTCTGAAGGTGATGGTGATCTCAAAATACAGGCAGGCATAAAGTGAGAGACATGGTGATTTTGATATGCCCTACCCAAGTCAAGCAGGCCAACACCAGCACCTTGATCTGGGTGGTGATAAAAATGAATGTATTACAATCAATAAATTATCAGTTCAGGTAGACATTTGCTAACGGACAGGAGAAACGTAATTCCATTTTTAAAGTAAAAGTAAACGACTTAAGTTTGCATTTCCACATTAATGTTCCTCCAGTATTAAGTTAGTTAATGGTAGAGCTAATTCCCGGCCTGACCTTCTCCACAAGGTTGTTCTTCAGGTAAAGTGAGAGGCAAGAGGCAAGGGGAGTGGGGAGAGCCACATATACTGCCTCACTCTCACTGGGGCAAGGGTGAGACACAAATATCTATCAAAAATTGCTTTTTGTTTTGTTTTATGTTTCTTGTTGATAGGCTTGAACAGACCAACATGGCCACAAGTTCGAAAACATAAAAATATAGTACTAAATAAGAATTCACCCAGATTCCAATCAAGTAACATATGTTGATGCCTCTCTAAAAATTGGGATTTGAGAATTAATCATGAATGGGATGTTTCACCTTCACTTGGGTAAAGCTTTTAAGTGTAGCAAGGCAGTGTAAATTTAAAGGTGAATTTAATTTTTGAAAACACCCCCTTTTCCATGTAATTAAATGAAATATTGTGAGGTTATTCATGATCAGCCTTGTGTATTAACTATTTCCCTCTAACTATCCCTTCTGTGGACTTGAGTCTGAAAATGGGCCAGAATCCAGTGTTTGTCAAAGAACAGGCATGAACTGATCACATCACAACATCTACTCCTAGGCAGCAGCCTCACAACCAGATTCTGAATTAAGTGTAGTTCCCAACCCATCTTTAAAGATAGCCCTGCATCTAATGTGTTGCAGTAGTCCACTCTGGGGGTCATCCAAATTATAGATCAGTGTTTGGAATACGTCTGTACAGAGAAGGACACCAGTGGCAGGTAAACAACCTTCTACACCAGTGGTTCCCAACCTTGAGTCCTCAGATGTTCTTGGACTACAACTCCCAGAAGTCTTCACCACTAGTTGTGCTGGCCAGGATTTCTGGGAGTTATAGTCCAGGAACATCTGGGGAGCCAAGGATGGGAACCACTGCTCTACACTGTGGGAGACAATTGCATCACCCGCATAAGAGGGACGTCTTTTACGGTTCAAGAAACAGGACCAAGAGCTCTGTGTCTCTCTCCTGGCAGAGCTATCAGTAAGGACAAGGAAGGCTGTTTCTGAGCTCAAACCCCTTTTAAAATCCAATTGAAATGGATCCAGCTGACAAGACCCACTGAATACTTTAGTCCTAATTCAGCTATTGCTCATCATGCTGCAGTCAACAGGGAAACAGGGGACTGCCTAGCCCCATGCCCCCCTGTTTTAAAACTCATGTGGAAAGAGATGAGCCTGAACAGGAGGAGGTTTCTGCTCATGAGGAGACCCATCATCCCTGTTTTGCTAACAACGGGGGAACAAGTCTAGGTGTCCCCTGCTGCATGTTGGTGCCACTTGAAGCTCATCACCTACCCTGGGCTTTTCTCACATCTTTTCCAGTGCTTTGATCCTAAACAGAGGCTGGAATCGATGCACAGGCATAAGCACCATAGAATTCAGTGGGACTTCTTTTGGGGGAGACATAGGGATGGGCCTATGATGTGCAAATGGACAACAACACCCACATCTTTGTTTCATGGCTCGATCGAGGCATCTCTTTGGAGCACACCCATCAGAGGCAGAAAGGCAAGGGTCCTTCTTCACCACAATGACATCCTTTATATCTGCTGTAAAAGCCATCGCTGGCTAGAAAACAAGAGTGTCATTCCATAGCGGTGTGTGTGTTGTGATATAGTCATCGTCGTCCTTGATATTCACATTTACAATACTTTTGCTTCCGGTAAGCAGGCTTTTTTTTTTCATTTAGAAGAGGTAGCTGGACAGAAAAATTAGCATGTGTACACTGGAGAGCTGTGGTCGTTTCATGTTACCTTCAGTTTTCCTTAGGTTCTCTTCTGTCCCTGCATCTGGTGTGGCCTTCCTCTGAACAGCCATGTTGTTGCTGAGCCTTTCTGGCCCATTTTCTCCTGGACAAGTTGTGTAATCCATGTTTTGTGTTGCAGGTACCCAGACATCCAGTTCACAGCCTGTAAATGCTAAGGTCATTCCTGGACTTATTCTTGCCTTCGTCGTTCTGGTAGCCCTTGTCTTGGCTTTGACCCTCTTGAGAAAAAGGGTAAGTGGTTATGTCTGTGAGCTGGCTTTTTGTCTCTACATGTTTCACATAGTTTGCTCTTGTTCAGAACAAGAAAGTGATTGCAAGAGGAACTTGGGGGTGTGGAAGCTGGTTCTGTGTTCTGTCATCATTGCAGATGCTCCACCACAGTGCATGCATATCTTAGGGAAAGGCCAGCAATGTGCCCAATGTCACAGACAGGGCAAGCCATGGAACCTTGTTCCCTGTAATCACCTGATGCGCATGATGCCCTTCATGCAGTCCATGCATAGACACAGGGAGGGCTTTTCCCACCCAGAACTGTGGGTAGAATATAACAAAATGTTTGTGCGCTCACACACAGACACACACACAGACACACACACACACGTAAGAAGTGCCATACTTGTCAAGAGGATAGAAAATCATTTGCAGTCCTCCAGAAGACCATTAACCAGAAAGTACTAAACACTTCCTTTGGAAGCAACCCATTATTCTGTTTCCAACTCTGAAGAAAGAGATGAGCAGGAAAATCTGAGTGAACTGGGCTTGCTTCATGATTATCATTTTCTCCTGAAAGGCCATGTTATAAGCTGATAAACTGTGTTCATTAGAATAATGAACAAGTTGTAACTCCAGTCCCTCTTTCCTCTTCTCTCCCCCCCTCCGCCTTTTCTTCTTCTTCCTCTCCTCCTCCTCCTCCTCCCTCCTCTTTTTAGAGAGCCTCCCCAAATTTCCCAGCTCTGGACAGGATGGTACCTACTTTGCGAGAGAAAGGAGTGAAATCTGGAGACCAAGAAGAGAAGGTCCTGAAGATAGAGTATTGATGAGAAAGAAGGAAGGAGATCATTTAGCTGACAGCTACTGAAGTTGGCCAAATGGGTGTGAGAAGTTTAGAGTTCCTGTATGTGGGCATACTCAAATATTTGGTAAACTCAGTGGTTCTTAAATGTGAAGGTCGGTCCTCCTGAGCTGTATGAGGCAGCTGCAAGGAGACAGGATTCTCCAGCATGCCTCCCTGTATTACCAGCCAAGAAAAGAAGGACACTTTCGCCATCTTCCCAGCCTGATCTGGAAAGAGTTGTTGCTTGGTGTTGTTTTTTTATTTTTGTTTTTTTCCTGTTTTCTGTTTCCTTGGAGGGTTTTGTTTTGTTTTGTTTAGAGAAGGTTAGAAGTGCCTTACTCTGTTTCCCCATTATTAGTGCCACTATTGGGTCCATGTCCTAATCCATTGAGGGATTTGTTTTGTTTAGAGAAAGTTAGAAGTGTCTTACTCTGTTTCCCACTTCTTCTTAATGCCACTATTGGGTCCATGTCCTAATCCATGGATCTTGGCACAATAAAGCAGGCTATATGCATGTAACAGCATGCAAGGATATAGCTCATGGGCTGTGACACAGAGAGTTGATGTTGGGCAGTGGAGCAGTGAGCCGGTGGCCACAGGGCTGAAGCTTTCTGATTAACAGGGTGTGTGACATCAATCCCTTCCCTTCACACTGCTTCATTGTTCCTTCTGAGCTTAGTAGTAATTTCAGGAGAGAAATTAATTAATTTCCCCAGGAACAGGATGTTGTTGCAAGCTATCCTTGTTGCAATTCAAAGTATTTGAAGGTGGTTTCATTTTGAATAAGCCACTAGTTCTACCAAAGCTCCACTCCACATTTGTTGACATGGACCAAGCCAGCTGCCTCCAATTGTGTATTGTCCTTGTGGTGAAAGGTGGCCATGGAAACTGCCATGATGAGTACCTACGCATCACACATTGGTTCTAGGTTAGGATGCAGAGAGACAAAAGGTTAAGATGGTACAGGTTTGGGAGCTCCAAAAATTTGAGGAACATCTAGTGAGACAAAACCTAACTTTGGTCAGATGCTAAAAGTTCAAGGACAACACAAGAGGTTCCTGTGGGCATCACGGGTGGACAAGACCTTGGCTGTGAATTTTTTGTGCTTCTGCTTCCCTTTCTGTAAACCAGACTTTGTTTGTAAAAGTATTTCCTACCTTCCTGGCATATTTAAGAGTGGCACACAAGACCAAAATGTGGCTATCAGTGCCTGGAAAGACCAGAAGTCTCTGCACTGCAAATATTTTACAACATTTCCCTTTTGCTTGTTCCTCCTGACTACGCAGCATTTTCATTACCACAATGATTTGAAGCTGTATTCATGGAAATAACTGTACCAGAGAGCACTTGTAACATTAACGCATGTTTCATTCTCAGAAAACTATAAAGAAACAATCCAACAAATCTTTGGCTTCTGAATTTTATGACTATTGGTAGGCAGGCTTACTTTCCACACATATTTCTAGTTTATGTTTTCCTTTTCCTTTTATCTCCTTGCTGCTGATGGTCAAGCAGAGCTCATCTTCTTAGGAGAGAAAAGGGATGACTGAATGGACATAGAGAAATAATGCCTATAAACTTTGACTCTAAATATTGCAAAGCAGGTATGAATTACTGCAGGTAGTCACATACTCCTGAATATGATCACCATATCCCACATACTGCATCATTACAAATACACTAGAGAACTCAACACCTGGCCAGTGGTTTTGGGCTGGTAGTCAACATCAACACTACAGACTGAAACAATGTGCATGGCAGAACGACTCTTGGAATATATCTGTGAAGATTCTCAGTCACCCAGGTGAGGTTATCTGGAAGTTGAGTCATGGCAACTGGACTACTTTCTTATTAGGTTGAAACGTTTCATTTCACTACTCATCCAAGCAGCTTCTTCAGTCTGGGGAGAGTTGGTAGGAGATCTCTGATATATCCTTCAGTTGGTTTCACTTCCCCCTGGCCTGAATAGGCTCATTAGATGAACAAATGAGCAAAGCGTGCTGCTTATATACCACCCCATAGCGCTTCACCCACTCTCTGGGCGGTTTACAAGTTAATTATGCAGGCTACACATTGCCCCCCTCTCCCGTGAGCTGGTCATTTTACCAACTTCAGAAGGATAGAAGGCTGAGTCAACCTTGAGCTGGCTACCTGGAATTGAACACTGGGCTGTGAGCACAGTTTTAGCTGCAGTATAGCGGTTTAACCACTGCTCTACTAGGCTCTTATAATGGGGGGAGGTGAGGGATAATCCCACTTCTGCAGAGTCATCCATTGTCATGAGTCATTAACAGTCATTAATAGTGATCTTTCTTGTGTGTATCCCTAATCCTTCTTGAGGGGGATGAAAGGGCAGCTTGATAAATAGGAGACAGATTGTATCTAAGGCCTCCACGCCTGTTGAGTGAGGGATTTTCTACATGGATGTGTATGGCCTCCCTGAGACTTGAAATAATTTTTTTATGAATGTGTTTTAAGTGAGTATTTCTTTCTTAGAAGACATTAGTACCCTATCCTGTTTGTAAAATACTGTATAGGCTTGAATGGTAACTTAGTTAGGACTCACCACAAGGTAGAAATTGCTTTAAACCTAGACTCCATTAATGAGGGAGCAGGGGTAGGTGTTCATGAAAGTGATCTGCTTGTTTACCATACAACAATGAAATTGCACACAATTGCATTCTCAGCTCCGTTGCTTAAAGTGGAAAGAGGAAGAAAGAACTGTTGCAATATATTTTTTTAAAAGGATCAGTCACAATATTCCATGAATTTGTACCTATCATGCTGAACTGCTCACATGAAGGTACTGTTAGGCAGTCCAAGACTGGAAGAGGGAAAATCTTAACTAATTTAAGCATGTGAATGTCACCACACAAGCTTCTCTCACCTCCAAGATTATGCAAATTATATTAACGTATAGGTGTCAAGTAACCTTTGAATACACTATGTGTTGCTGCTTTGTGCCATTGAGTAACACCCAATTTATAGCAATCATAACAGGGTTTTCACAGTATGTGAGATATCTGTAGGGTGGTTTTACCAGCACCACACACCTCAAATGAGTTTCAATGGCCAAGCCAGGATTCAAACACAGTTCTCCGAAGTCCTAGTCCATGGTGTCAAGTAGCCTTTGAATACACTATGTGTTGCTGCTATGTGCTATTGAGTAACACCCAATTTATAGCAATCATAACAGGGTTTTCACAGTATGTGAGATATCTGTAGGGTGGTTTTACCAGCACCACACACCTCAAATGAGTTTCAATGGCCAAGCCAGGATTCAAACACAGGTCTCCAAAGTCCTAGTCCATCATTTTACCCACAATATCCCTGGAATTTCACCTCTACCATGAACTCTACAGATAGCATCAGGTCTTGCTCACACTGATAAACTAACAGAACAAGCTTTTGCTTAACTGACATAATATTTTGCCTCATGTTCAAGTGAGTCCCTGGGCAGTAATCTAACTGAATTGCTATTGTTTCTGGCAGAAAAAGTCCATGGCCAAAATCCTATAGCCTTATGTGACTGTATAAAGTCAATTGTGCAAGCAATTCTCCATCTTGTAACTTGGCTGTTCCTTGCCCATGACTGAGCAATTAACCATGCACCCAGTTGCATGCTTGGCTGTGAGCTGGACACTGAACAAAAGGGAAAAACCAGCCATGCAGTTGCCCTGATGTATGCTGATTTCCACAGCAGGATTTGTTGGTCCATATAATAATAATAATCTTAGAACTGCCGAGCTGCAAGGGACTCGATGGATCATCGTGTCCAGCCCCTGTCAAAGAGGGGGGGGAATTGAACTCCCAACCTCTGGCTCCTCAGCCAGAGACCTTCTTAGTTACTAGTGTGTTTGCACTTGCTGCATTGCCTTCTCTGCCATCACCACTGACTAAGCTCATTCATACACCAACAGTCTCAATGGAAGCTGGTATAGTCTTTTCTTCCATTGGTTGGCTTCCTCCAACCTGGTTGCATGCAGGAAAGCAGAAATAGATTTTTAGGCAATACATCTTTATTCACCCTACCTTAAAAATCCAAAAGTGTAGGTTTGTGTCAGGTACAAATTAATGTGTCAGAATCTAATATATTTTATGCTGGACACTCCTCCAAAATTTAACAACTACTGGGCACATCCTACAGAGGTGGACTTCTTTATGACCTCTTTAACCAGGTGAAGTTCCACCTGTGCATGCGTTGGCAATTATGTTCTTTTCCACTAGCAGGTGCCAACTACATACCCCTTCTTCACCACATAAAACGTATTTATCAAGGATGAATTCATCAAAACTCTTTCCCCACATAGCCTATAACTACCCACACACAAATGTGGAGATGTAGAAGGTTTATGAACTCATAATAACAAAAAGGAGAATCTTATGAGGCACTGTGTAATAAATGACAACCTTTCAGACTTTGCTAAGAGTGTGCCTCTGGATTTGGGGACATTTGCTTGCTTGCTTGCTTGCTTGCTTGCTCGCTCGCTCAAGGAGCTGTTTTACTATAAAACAGCTCCTAGTCAGCCAGAAATTCTGTGGAAGCAACGAGTCAAAACCCCTGGTTTGCATCCATGCTCCTTGAACTGTGTTCCTGACTCTGGATTCTGACCCTGGACTACACTGTGTATTTGACTCTGGACTCTGACCTTGGACTGCATTCTGTGAGTTGGTTTATGGACACTGGCTTTGCATTCTTGTTATTCCTGGTGGCATTTGGGTTTATAGGACTTTGGCTGTTGTAACCCCCGGGAACGTGGCATTTGACTCTAATCTGCTAAATAGGATAGCCAAATAGCATTTCATATACCTGGGGGCAGGAATGTTTCAGGAGTAGGATCATACTTCCGCACTATTAGGGAGCAGGGCGGGTAGGTGGGACTCGTCAGCCATGTAAGGCAGCCCATCTAGGAGAAGGAAAACTCTGATTTCAAACCTCCACTGCCTTGTGGCTATATCCACTGATAGAAAAGGCTTCAGGAGATAACCTCGAGGTGAAATCCAGAGCCGGAGTCCCGTAGACAGTTCGTGTTGTTCTGCCAACTCCTGCGATGTCACTGGAACCAGTTGTATTGGCTCTTGCCTCTCCATTGGACTATTGCAGTGATGTGGAGAGGGGGGATTTGCTGCTTGGGTAACAGCCTATCCTCCATATTATTCTACGCAGGCTTCGTGCTCTGGAGAGGACACTCCAGCTTTGCATACAGTGTCGAAATAACACAGGAACTAGCAGTTACTGGTTATACGTTTTGCTCGATTGGCACAGAGCATGATGCCAGGGACTACTTCTGATGGTCAGAGAGCCGAAAAACAGATCAATAACCATGCACCACGCAACAATCAAAAGAAAACATCTGCCCTAAAGTTGGG